AATTTATAGTATTTTGGCATTGAAATGATATCTTTGAACGACCATTAGATAGCTGTATGCATTTTAAGACTGAAAAGAAATCAGCACATTTCTGCTTTCGTATGCAATTGTATTAGTATTTGATTTGTATTTATATGAGAGCGTGGCTTTATGATGCAAACGTATTTGTCAAATAAAATGGTTATACATCAATGTATGGCTTGATTTTTAGACAGCTATCTAGCTATATCAATGATATTGAAAGATCATTCAACCTAGTTATTCGAGTGACGTGTGTTCAGGCTTAAGATGTTGAACAAAATTGATGTTATATTAGTAGTGAAAGGTTCACATGGCTCTGATTTCATCACTGTTTTTTTCCCCTTTCAATTCTAGATATACCATATGTTTCCAAACATAGATGCTTACAAACATAGGAAACATGATTTACTGAACATAAAGAACTCTTGGTTCAGTTATTTGTACGTATGCTTGTTGTTCATAACCATTTCAATGTCAGTTCGATTAAAGTCATAGCATTGCAATGAAAAGCGTCCAATTACGGCAATATAGTTTTATTCGTCAAGTGCTAGAATGTGTGGGCAGAAGTGCACTTTTCTACCCTGCATTTTATATAAATATCCATACAATAAGAGCCTGTATCATTTGCTCAACGAACGTGTGGGCGATCTAGTTGTCTGCCTTACTGTATAAAAATACCAAGAATTAATTGTTTCATTAATGAGTATTATAATCATACTTATATACTAGAACTCGAATAAAAGAATGAATTATCTTTTACTATGCTTACTAAAGTCACAAACTTGAATGAAAATCAAGTCTAACCTTTCAGTAAATCATTTGACAATATGTCTATTTCTAGCACACCATTAGGCACAATTTTATGGAATTCGTATCAAATACAGTTCTTCTCATTGAATATAAAAGAGGCTGTACTGTTTTTGTTTCAATATTATATTCTTAACTTACAAATCATTGATTTTTTTTTCAATATTGTATTCACAATTTACAATAAGATTTCATTGATTTGTGAATTTTTATGCAGCTAATGTATAAATTGTAAACGAAACTGTTGAAATCAAGTATCCATTTTATGCATTAGCAGTCACTTAGAAAATATTAAAATTCATACGATTATTACTTAAAAATGCTTTGATATGAACAGTTTTATCATTTGCTATTTATGTTTCATAGTTGCCGTTTGGCATTTTAGAAATATATTCTTAATTGTTGTAAACAATGCTTCATGTAAACAATCCGGATTTATGACAAATGTGTTTTAACCTAAAAAGGTTACACTATTTATTTGTTACTGTAAGCATATTAGTTTGTTGTTTTAAACAAACTATTTCATAAACACACCAAGTTATTTATTGTTTATTGTTAGATGTATTTATATGGTAAGAATAGCGTCGCATGTTCGCCATAGAGAATAGTATATATGGTCTTTAGAATGAATTAAACTTTACAAATATTTTATATAAAACGACTTTAATCTTTTTGACATTTTAGTCTGTTTGAGATGCATTCTTTCAAACCTTTATTGCATCAAGTTTACAATAGGCATATATGCCTGTACGTTTTGTTTCTACCTGAGACATACCACTTATTGTTAGGTAAAGGCTATATTAACTATATTAAACTATATTCACTTACCATGAATTCCGGCAACATGTGTACCAGAAATTGAGCCACAATCACACCTGTGTTTAGTTTACGTTCTTCCTAATCAAAGACTCATTTCTGTGTTGCTTCATGAACGTACGGTGTAAATTTTGAATATACTAATAAGTGCATAAGAAAAGTAAATTTTTACGTGATTGCTTTTTTAATGTACGTTTATCGTCACAAAATGCATGCTATCGGCCATCCTTTAGCAGCAGCTTCAGCAATATTCAACATTAATACACAATCTTCTTCCACTTTTTGCGATGTTTGGGTATCAGATTTTTTTTGTTCGTAAAATTTCTTTATATATTTTTATCTTCAGTATATTAAATCATTTCATAATTACAATTTCTTTAAAATGATATACAAAGTTAAGAGGGTATGATTTTAAACAAGCATTAAGTCAATGTTACACGTAATAACAAACAACAATGTTGTCATCAAATTCTCGACCTATGATATAGTCTATTGTAGGCCTAGAAATAACAATATTTATAGTATTATCGAATGCATGAGAATTCCAAGGAAAACGACTGATCGATTTTACTCGTGAACTCTTTGTTGACAAAACAGATACAATCTTGGTTAAAAATAGCATAACCTTTTTGTATTGTTACAGTGAATGACTATAACAATGGTAATCGATGATTGAACTATAAAGAGGCTAATAAGTTTAATGACTTGTCTCAACCTCAGAAACATTAGTGGAAAAAGTTGAGGTTTGTGGAATAAACAGAATAAAAACTTGATGGAAAAGAACTCTTGCTATTACCTACCCCGCAAAACAGTATCCTGACTTAACATATACATTATACATGCTAGTTAATTTTTTGACAGCCAAATATTATTCAAGTAATCAAACTTAAATTTTTGTTTGGTCAAAAGTGTTAAATGAACTTCTGCCTCTCCTGTTTTACAAAATATTTAGATAATTATGTAATGTAGAATTCGCTTGTGTGTTTAATAAACGGTGGCACAGAGGTGACATTTGCAGTACCTTTTTATCTCGTGACCACGACTTATTTTCTTGACGCCTAAAGATATTATCTCGTGGCCACGATTTATTATCTTGTGGCCACGACTTATTATCTCGTGGCCACGGCTTATTATATTGTGGCCACGAGTTATTATCTCGTGGCCACGGCTTATTATCTTGTGGCCACGTTTTATAATCTTGTGGTCAAGACTTATTATCCTGTGGCCACGACTTATTAAATTGTGGCCATGACTTATTATCTTGAGACCACGACTTATTATCTTGTGGCCACGACTTATTATCTTGTGACCACGACTTATAATCTTGAGACCAGGACTTATTATTTTGAGCCCACGACTTATTTTAGCCAGCGAAAATGGTCGTTTCATCTTGTATCACACTGGCCATAGCTTCGCAGAAGCGGCGGGGGTCAAAACGGTGTGCGGTGAACAAGGTGAACATGTAATAGAAAGAGCACCGAAACACGAGGCTATCTGATTTGTACGAGGGGGCGTAGCCCCCGAGTATTAATCAGATTGCCGAGTGTTTTGGTGTTCTTTCTCTTTTGTATCATAGTCAAACATAAAGCACGTTCCCTGTTGTCACAATATGAAACCCCGGCAAAAATGAACCAATGAACGAACATCTGAATATGACATTTCTGTCGCTTTCCCTTTCTCTGCCGTCACAATATGTAAACCCCAGCAAAAATGAGCCAATCAATGGGCATGCTCTGGAGTGCGGGTAACTAATACCTGCACTCCAGTTAACGCACGGTGCATGTATATGTATACGATTTAACCCTGACACATTTTCAAAAGAAAGGTCTCCAAACTATGATACAATTTATAATTATCATTATTTTGTACCTCTTTCTTCTTTTTTTTGTATGGTAAGGTGTGTTCTTTCATTCTTCTTTAAATTATTTAATTAAGAAATATAAGCGGTTAATGTATATTTTTAAGGTCTCTGATTCAAATCACTTGCCCTCTTTCGCTGTTGATTCAAATCCAGTTAGAGACTCGTATCTAGATAGTTATTTATGAAGATATATCACGATGTCAAACACTTATTTCTAAAGACATTGCGCTAGACTTTCCAAAAGCTGTAATAATAAAAGAGCTATAGAAAATTACAGACATTTTCATCATCGTCCAAATCAAGTTTAGCTTTACCTTCACCTTTGTAGTAAACGCAGTTAAGCATCAATCTTTGTTTTAATTTATTTATTTCTGTTTCTTGACAGTGACAAAGAACGCTGTCAACACAAAAATACCAAAAGTATGCAATTGTGTTATTCTTAGACATTTGCATACGTGAATACTTGTTGTTATAAATACAAACGGTATGCTTAATTTTACATGGAACAATAGGAAAACATTTTCAGTGATGTAATAATGACACTATAGGGAATTCGGTTTTAGATCTGTTTACACTTAAATCTTTGTGCGATTGCACTAAATATCGTATACAGCATTAATAAAACAAACAAACAAACAACAAACAAATACCAAATGCATCTTGAATGTTGCGGTTAATGTATTAGGATGAAAATAGATTTTTTTATAAAAAATAAAGAGAAAATATATTTCATAAATTTCCTATTACATCAGAGAGCGTCATTAGTCTAAAATTTGTTGAAATGTGAGATCCCTCGAGGGCATTGAGATCAAAAACAAGTAGTTGAATCTCCATACATGTCCATAATTGAAAATCGTTGATGTCTCTGGCATCATCACCGTCCTATAAACTAAACTGAAATTATGATGAATAAAAATATAATGAATCCAGTTCACTTCCATTAAACAAGAGAACACTCACTTTGTCGACTGACAAATTCTAACCTCAAATATAGGTATTTACATCTAATAGTTGAACGATCCATTTAAGGCGAGCTATCTTACACAATCATATCACTAGTATATCATTATGATTGTTATTTATGAAATTCAATTAATTAAGTGGTTAATGAATTAGTTAATAAATATTATAAGATTGTGTTTGATATTATTTTAAATAGCTTTGACATTTCATCACTTACATAAGCTAACAACAATTTTGAAAACAAAACAAAAAAGACAACAACAAAAACTATACATTTATCAGATTGTAATGATGAAAAAAGATAATTTTGAAAATTCTGAAAAACAAAAAGAAAAAATATAGTAATCATTTCATTCTATTCTGTCATTTTCCTGGGGCATAGACATCATTCATTATAACAATTTACACTCAGGAAGAAATATAGAACAATATCTTGTACTTAATGCTTTGATTACAACAAATCCACCAATACATATAGCATTTCAGCCAGCCTCTCCAATCTGTACTCATATGAACGTGGCCTGGAAAATGTAAACAAACATAACACAATCTAGGTCAGAAACAGCGCCACTGAATCGATTTTACTTGCGAATCTACAAAGTCGATTTCATATATTCATGTATTACTGAATGAACTATTTTGTAGTTTTACAAGTAAACTCTATCAGAGAATATTGTATTATTTATTTCAACGGTGGAGTATCTTGACTTATAAATATAATAGTGTAATATGAAGTTTATTATAGTATGTGTTTGTACTCCATTCATTGAAAAGCACTGACGCGTGGCAATCCACTATATTTGTACGCAGGCATTAGGACGTGGGGGTATTCCTCTTCATTAAATCCGTAGTGCGGGAGTGTAAACGGAGTAACAGTCAGTGAATTCAGCGGAATTATAGTAGCATATGATATGGGTGCAAGACAAATTTTAAGACAAATTAATGAATGGAAAAATTTACTTATAGTAGTTTTACTGCCAATCATTCTCATCCCGATTCCACTTGTCGGACAGACTTCGGTAAGTCTTTCTTTTTTGTTGTTGTGCATTCTTAAGTTTTAAACACGTGGTTTGCAAAAATATCAAACCATTTCACTTATTAAATCAGTAGTCAATTGTCTTATAATTGCTTGGGGACATATTGAAGTTTAAACTTGTAATGAACTTGTATTTTCATTTTGCTTTTCATGATTTTATTTACTTTTTTGAAATTTTCAATAAAGGTGTTTAAATTCCATTCATTCCGGGTGCATTCCTTGTTGAAAATCAATATTGGAACACGAATTAACAAGTGCTACTAACCTTTTATTTTAAGCATATAAAAGCACATATAGATAGACTAACAAACAAGTATCACTTTATCATTAACTTAATTAATTATTTTTACGTAAATTAATTGATTGTGAAGTGCTTTTATACGATGATATACAAAAACAATTATTTCATTTACAAATAATTCAAAGATAAGCTTTGTAAAGTCATATAAATGTTTTATAAACGCCGACTCTCCTAATGTAATCGGAGGGTCATGGTGACGCAATGTTTACTCACCGGCTTGCGTTATATTCGATTCGTTTCGTACTTTTGAATCGATTTAACTCAATAGCCTTCTTATTGTAAGGGTATATTCTTAAGGCAAATTAAAGCGGATACATAATTTTAAATTGTCCACTCCTGTGATCCGGATATAAAGAAACTTTTTAAGTTAAACTTTTTTCCATTGCATAAGGTGACTTATAAGTTTAAACAAATTACACATTTCTTCTTTTGTATGAAGGCATTATATAGCGTTTAAAAAGTTCAAAAGTTACGATTATATAAGCGGATACATTTCCAAAGTTTAAAGTGACACTTTTATTGAAACAATTTATAAGTTTTATACTCATTAAAACGTGCTTGAAACGCGATAGTAATTCATGCTTTTTAATCGAACCAAGAAACATGTTCTCTGTCAAAGAATATTGTTAAGATTTGGAATCTAATCAAAAAGTTTTCGAATGTGATTAACTCTAATCTGATAGATTGCTTGACATTGGTTTAACCTTGACATATATACCTACTGTGTATATACCACAAACAATAATATATCATATTTAATTAGACAAGTGCTTTTGTTTTCCAATGTATGGAATAACATAATATCCATAATATCTCGTGAATTATAGCCACTATATGGACTATTATTTGACTTTTAACATCAATTATCAATGTCATTATGAATTTAATTTTTTTATTTTTAATGTTCTGGTTCGTAATAGATCTATTATAATTAAAAAATATTTATCTACATGTCGTTTTGTTATACTGTTTTAATTGCCCTTGATCAACCAGGTTTGGTGTTAAACTGTTTGGTGTTAAATCCAAGTTGAAGAAGTAGCATCAATCGCAATATAATCATCATCATCATCACCATCGTTATAATATAATAATAAGTATAATCATCTTTATTATTAATATCATCACCATTATCATATATACATATCTTTACCTGTATTATTACTATGAGTTATCACCAGAATCATATTGAAATTATCATTCACATTTAACAGGTGCTTTTATCATAATTATCATCTTTACCTGCCTGTTTCATTACTTTGAATATCATGATAGTTTCTTTTTAATATACATATCATGATTATCATTCAGTTCATTATCTGCATTATCTTTATTTTCATAACGATAAGTAACTGCATCATTATCGGAATCAGAATTATCATCATTATATTTTCTTTATTTTCATCATAATTATCATCATAACCGTTAGCTGTTTCATGATTATTTACAAACATTTTTACTATATTTATGACGTAACAAAATTTACCTGTTTTTATGTTTTATAACTTATGTAATATAACAGTTACATTTTAATAAAGTTATTATTCATATAGCGTAATCTCATTCCTTCTGAGAGAAGTAAAAAACATTGATTGATGGTAGCACGTTAATAATGTGCTTCACCGCATAATGTGTTATCAAGATTTAACATTTACCAACCAGTAGGATATTTACTTTAACTAAAATGACACTTTGTTATTTATCTTAATTGTTGATAAGTAAATAGTACTGTATGGTATCTTTTCCAACAATGCAAAGTGGCATTTAAATATAAATTGTCATTTATAAAATGCACGTTTGTAGTTTTTACTCAAGATTGTAATTTAGAAAGGAAACGAGATTTATTTTTCGGCTATTTTTATGTTTGTTACTTCTTTAAATGTAAAAATATAATTTTAAACCTTTTGTATTCGTAGAGTTGTATATATAGGCATGTCACATGCTTTTGTGTTCCTATTTGGCTTTGCTATAGTGACTCTTCTATAAATGTCTGAAAATACAGAAAATGTAGATCTCACTTCAGAATTAATACTCCAAAGAAAAATATGCAGATTTGATTAGTTTCATAAGCTAATGTTAAACGTAATGTTAAACTCAAAAGAACCCACGAATCTAGATTTTATGATTACACTCTCTTGAGGTTCTAAAGTTTGTTGAAAATAACGTGACAATTTCATTTATCAAAATGAGACAGTATTTGCATTTTATCTTATTAACAATACCTGTAATCAAGCCATACCCGTTTTCGGAAAACTTATAAAATGTGATTATGAATACATATTCATACTTCATACGAACAAATGAAAAGATAAATATCATTTATGATTGAAAACATGGTCATAACCAAGGTATATATAGTATCACTTATTTAATGTAACTTGAGTTATGTAAGGTACAACTGACCGAAATAAAGACGCGTGTACTAATTCTAACAACCCATCCACAAGTATTTAATATGTATAAATGATATGTTAATGCGACATTCAGTTTTTTAGTGTCATAAAATGACATTTAATACTTTCAAGATACACAGACTATCCGTATTCTGAAAGCGTTTTAATTTTTTTAAATAGTACATTTTTGTTTGACATCTTTACACTGCAATGTATTGTTAAACTTCAGCCAAACAGTAGCATCTCTTACGTGCTAAGGTTTATACCAGTTCCTAAGTGTTTATAATTCAAATTCTCGTGAGTAATAGCACTAAATACAATTATTGCAGGAACCCTTGGCTTTTGATATGTCCTTTAATAAACATTAATTGTAGTATATTTTGTGCGCTGGATCATTCATGTAGATGCTCTTTTGTTTGATACTGACTTATAGTCGGATCTGTATGTTTCACAATTTAATGAGCTTCCTGAACAAATAACAACACCATGTATTTATTTTGTTTATAACATAATAATTAACCTAATCTGCTGCTCCATGCTTTGTTCTTTATATTAAACTTAAGGTTCCCTTTGAGAAAAGAAGAAATAATAATTCTTTTAGTAGATGTATTATTGATCCATAAGATCTTTTGATGTCCTTTCTTGTCCCCATTTATCAAGAGCAAAGCTATAAAGCTGTTTAGTGTTTTGGAAGATCACGTAATTTTGCAACTTCAGCAGGTTGAAGGTTTCCATGTATAAAACAACACATTAATATTTCATTCGTATGACCCTTGATGGCTGAAAAGAATTAATTACAGAATCATTCAATTATGCTGGGCTCATTATTTTATTCAGTTCTACACTATAAGTAATGCTGATTTATACATGTTTATTTGTAGATAATCAACAAAATATACATTCCTTTTGCAATTATATTGACCATGATATTTGCTTATGAATATTTAATTTTCTATAACCTTCTTCTTTAGTATGACTTTTATATATGAGAGCAAAAGTCTTCAATTGCATTTTTTTTATCTTATTGACAAAAAAGAAAGAAAGAAACAACAACACTAATTTCGGCTTTAAAACAGATAAAAATATTTTTTTGCAAATATCTATCACTAAACTGTATATGTTTTCGTTCCGTATGTAAATAAATCCTACTAATTATTTAAACTGCAATGATAAGTCTAAAGTGAAACATGAGTCTTCAAAAAGTGTCATGACAAAATCAGTGTTTCTTGCTTTGTGAAGGAGTTATGGGTATTCTTTGATATTGTGTTGTCAAGAATTTCACCGCAGACAAGAATTGGTAATATATAAATGTAATGGTCGGTTAATTGAAATGTTACTGTCAAACTATACATGATTGTTTTAGACACAACAATGCCTGTAAGAAATAATTTAGATACTTGATTTCAATCTTATTATTTGTAAAGGTATTTCTGATATGTTTATTGTATTGTCTTGTTTTAGTCAGTGTCATTCATGTCTTAGAAATTATCCTTTAATCTTAAAATCATGCGTTAAATTTACTTCAACAAAAACATGTAGCATTACTCATCGACTATGTTTTGCCTTCATGTAAAAAAAAATTATTATCAGGAACTGAATGTGAAACTCAAACAAGCTCATTACAGTGTTATTGGTTGACAAAAATGCACTTTAACTGATCATAATGTAAACAAGCTTTCCTTATGTTTCCGTCTGTATTAAATTAGTGTCTGGATTTGCAATTTAAACATATTCCCACAATAATTTATATAAAAGGTCGTTGCTAGTACTAGTTTATATAATGTATGTCCATAGTTTGTACATGTAGTTTGCCTAGTGTAAAATTTAGATTATTCGGTGTTCGATTATTCAGACAAGGCCTTTTTGAGTACCAATGAAAAAAATTGTTTGAATTAAGTGAGTTTCGTGATTATATATTTAGGTTACAGCCAAATATTTGCGAGAAATAACCCCCCCCCCCAATTGTTGTCTTACACGTTGCTGAACGATTCATTTAAAGAGCTGGTTTATAAGAACTGGCAGTATGAAATACAACATTTAATAATGGGCAACGACGAAGCAATAATACTTAACATTCATTATACTGTTTGTGGTATTTTCGTTATTTTCGTCCAGTTGCCTGTGTGGGCAAGTCAGATTAGCCCGAAGGTCAAATAAAGGACGTAAAGGTTCGGATTGCATGGTGTCACCACCAATGTATTTTATCGGTTCGGTCATTTATAAAGCTAGATGATACATATCAACGCCCACCAACATACTGTTAATTAATTGTTATATTCTTAGCGGTCATAA